TAAGGCCTAGCCTCAGCTGGACATCCCCAAATATGAAAATGATTTAGGCTAGGCTTTCGCCCGGTCCAAAGTTCATAAGGTGTTTTAGCAGTAGCTTTAGTTGGCACCCTATTGAGAATATATGCTGCTGTTTTCAAAGCCTCTCCCCAAAGTGATTCTGGTAATGAAGAATGACTAATCATACTCCTCACCATATCTTTCAATGTTCTATTTCATCTTTCTGCTACACCATTCATACTAGGTGTACCCGGCATGGTGTACTGTGGGACGATTTTACATTCCTTTAAGAAAAGAGCAAAAGGTCCTGGACGTTGTTCTCCGGAACCATCATATCTACCGTAGTATTCACCTCCACGGTCAGACCTGACAGCTTTAATTCTTTTATCGAGTTGATTCTCGACTTCAGATTTAAATATTTTGAACATGTCCAGTGCCTCAGATTTTTCATGAATCAAATATAGATACCCATATCTTGAGTAGTCATCTATGAATGATATAAAATAATGTTGACCATTCCAAGAAGCCTTAGGGAATGGACCACAAATATCCGTATGTATCAATTCTAAGACACTTGTAGTTCTTTTGGCACCTAATTTCTTTATTTTGGTTTGTTTTCCTTTAATACACTCAACACAAACATCAAAGTCTGAAAAATCGAGTGTATCCAAAATACCGTTTGACACAAGTCTCTCAATTCTACCTTTTGAGATCTGACCTAAACGCTTGTGCCATAATTTAGCTGAATCAATTTTATTTAACTTTTGCTTAGTACCTCTACATTCGACATTAAGTGATTCAGTATGTGATGCAACTGTATCAATCATATATAAATTGTCATAAGCACTTAATGAACCAGTACCAACAATGTTAGAGTTCAATGAAAGACTAAATTGACAATTTCCAAATGAACAAGAAAAACCGAAGTTGTCCAATAAAGAAATAGAAACCAAATTCCGTCTAAATGACTGTACAATAAAAGTGTCTTTCAAATCTAAAAAGAAACCAGTTCTTAATAACAATCTAAAATGCCCTATTGCCTCCACTTGCACCGATTTTCCATCGCCCACAAAGATGTATCTTTCACCATCAGTTGGTTTTCGGCAGCTCAGGCAACCCTGCATTGAAACACTTATGTGAGTAGTAGCACCAGAATCTAACCACCAAGTGTTTCGTGATACAGAAGCTAAATTAACTTCAGAACATACCATATTAAGGATTGTACCTTTTTTTACACGCCAAGCATGATATTTAGCACAATCCTTCTTTGCATGTCCCAATTTTTTACAAAAGTAACAACCAGACGAATTTTCAGGTTTCTGTTTCTTTTGTGTTGGAACCTTATCCTTAGCAGCTTGTTCTCCCCTTTTTCTTTTGCCTTTATCTTTGAAATTACTAGCCAGTTGAATAATCTCAACTTTTTCTTGCTTCAACCTTTCTTCCTCTTGCACACAATAAGAAATGAGCTCATTTAGAGTCCACTTCTCCCTTTGACAGTTATAACTGACTTTAAACTGACTGAATTGTGCGGGAAGAGATAACAACACCAAATGAACGAGTAAGTCCTCAGACACCTCGAGCTTTAGTGCTCCTAATTTTGAAGCAATGTGAGACATCTGCATGATGTACTCCCTTATGTTTCCCTTGCCTTTGTACTTTAATGAGATCAAATTTGCTAAGAGCGTACTTGTCTCAGATTTTTCGTTCTTTACAAAACGTTTCTCAATTTCGGCAAGGAACTCACTAGCATTAGTAATTCCCTCAGAAGCAGTGCCTCGAAAGGCTTCCGGAATGCCGCGCTTGATGATCATCAGACTAACGCGATTTGAGCGTTCCCACTTCTCAAAGTTCTGTCTTTCAATGACAGTACTTGCATCCGTCAGAGAAGGGGGTTGCTCAACCCTTAGCGCATAGTCAAGATCCATGCAGCCCAAAGTGATCAGAACATTTTCTTTCCAATCCTTGAAGTTTGACCCATTAAGCATGGGAATGTTGTTGGTGTTAGTAGAAATAGAAGTAGCAGACGACATAGCTGAACAGAGAATAATATTAAATTAATAAACATGCTTACATCAATCATACAAATTTAAATAATTTTGGAAACATCTCAAGGCACCTAACACAACATTAGTATCAAGTCTTTGGACAGTAATATTAATTTGTAAGTGGTTGCCTTTGTGTAGTAATCAAATATTGACAAAATCCGGTCAAACAATAGCCTTTCTTTTGAAAAACATATTATTCACATGGATATAACTATATATTGTCACATATTTACCACCACAAATATTTATATATTTCTGCCAAATAATAATCTTCCTTTGGGATGACTAAATACTCGCATGAAAACATACAAATACAAACATCTAAAATTTTAACAAATAAACCTACACAAGAGAGGTCACTTTTGCGACTTCTTGTTTCAATAAACTTGTTTTAAATTTTTAGACAAATAAAAGGAAAATGAGATTTACCAAAATAAATTTAAAAGTAATGATTGAAATATTTATTTATATATGTGCAACACTAAATCAATTTACTATATCTGCACAATTAATAAATAAATAATTAACCAAGAATTTTTAATGTTTGAAAGTTGTTTAATATGTTCTAAAGCATAGATATTAATCTATAACTACCTATAAACAAAAAAGATGGGTAGTAGGCTGGCAGAAATGCTAATATATATCCAGCCCAGCGGGTCAACCCGACCCCGTCCGAACCCCTGCAGTTCAGCCCAGAAAACAGCCATAACCAAAAGCTTTGTATGCGATTTTTACACCAAAAATTATGAAAAAAATCACAAAAAAATTCACGAAATGGAGTATAAATCAATAATATACATGCTAAAACATGATAGGAGAAAAATTCAACAACCAAAATCACCCAAACTTTTTATTTACGAAAATAAACAAATTGAAGATTCCAAGTTTCATCTTGAATCAAACTACTTGCAACTTAATTCATGTAGTCTCAAATCCTAACAGTAATTATAAATAATTGAAACTAAAAACAATTGCAAGTATTTATCCACACATGAAAATAAACGGAGGTAGAGAAAAAAAGAATATACATATTGATTCTCAAAATTCAACATGAAGTCTCTGATACCACTTGTTGATTTAATTTAATCCCAAAATCATTCATGTTCAATCATTGAGAATCAAACAAACAAAAGAGCGGAAGCGTACCTAATTATTTGGGAATTTTTCTCTACTCCTGGACTGCTTTTGTGTTGCTTTTGTGTTACTGTATATTAGACTGATGAGGACTTCCAAACGATCGTTCCTTACGGCAGATATATTTTGCAGATATATGTGTGTATTTTTTAACATACGATGTATATATGTTTGTATCCGTATATATATCTTTATACTGCAGTATGGTGCCTTTTAAGGGAAAAGGCACCTGTTCAAAAATCTGTCAATTTATTTACGTCGTTTGGGGCCACTACCAGGTAAGTAAATAATTTTAATTTTTAGTTCGGTCCCTCAACAAACCAAAAATCTCATAATGGTATCTACACTTTTAAATCCACAATAATTTGATACTCTCTTTATTCAAAATAACAAATATAGTGGATCACTTTAATTGAATTATATTATGACAACTATACACATTTAATTTACATATGTTGTCCAAATTAAATATTTCTAACAAGATCGTCTTGAGTTCCTCAATGAAGACCCGGCGTGTCCCTTTGTGGAATCGAAAATGAATCCTCGAAGCACCTCTTATTCGAATGCCCCTTTAGCTCGAAAATATGGAGTGAAATTCGAACTTGGGCTAGCCTCCGGCATAGTCCAACAACGCTCAAGGGTGCCCTCAAATGGACTAAAAAAGAAGGAAAAGGGACGACTTGGAGAGCCAAATTGAAGAAAGCGGCACTAGCGGCTACCGTGTACTTCATTTGGAATGCAAGGAATCGATTGATTTCGAGAATGAAAGCCAACCTCCAAGCCTCGTGATTAGAAAGGTAAAGACTCATGTATATCGCTCCATCTTTGCTCTATTTCCGAGAGTTCTTGCCGAATTTGAAAGGAGGTATCTTGGTCTTAAATGCCTGAGCTCGCCACCTCACTGCTAGCGCCGCTAAGGCTATACTAGCGCCATTAGCTTCCCCGTGGAATTTCATTGTTTTTTCTTCTAACAAGTGAGTAGCCGACTTGTGGTTGTCCTCGTTATTTCTTGTCCTTGCAAGTGAGGAGCCGACTTGTGGCTACCCGCTTTGCTCTTGTAAACCGATCAGGTTGTATGACTTCCAGTTTTGATCAATATAAATTTATTTAACGATCAAAAAAAAAAAAATTGTGGCCTTACATGGGATTAAAAGAAACTATACAAGCCAATGTGGTAAATGCAATAATAGTTGGGTCAAATTATATAATTTGTTTAGTATTTAGGAGAAAAATTCAATTCAGAAAAAGAAAAATACAAAAGAAAATGACAGGAGATAAACAAGAAATGGATGAAATGAATGTAAATGCATTTTCAGTTGATAAAATGAAAAATACAAAAGAAAATGACAAGAAATAAAAAATGAAATCTTATAAGAGACAAAATGAGAATGATAACAATATTCGGACGAAAATATAATTTGTTTAGTTTCAGGGGAGAATTTTAGAATTAAATGGAGAGAAACGAAATTATTAGTTTTGGGGGGAAGAAAAAAGTTGTTAAATGAGAAAGGTAATAAAATTCGGATATAAAGAATAAAAAAGAAGTTAGCAACGCTAGAAGGAGGGCTTGAACCTCCGACCTTGTGGTTAACAGCCACACGCTCTAACCAACTGAGCTATTCCAGCTTGTTAAATGGTTTCTCAACAATATATTATTGTTTTAAAAACTACGTAGGCAATAGTCGATAGATTTTGCAACGATTTCGCCATTCTGGTCGATATTTGCTAAAAAACGACAGCTTTGCTGAGCGGGTTTAACAAGTGTTGTAAGATTATCAGTGATGAGAAATTGGGATTTATGAAGGCCGATCTTGGTTGCTTGTAATGCCGTCTCGTAGTGCTACTGCCGGGAACTCGATGGAGTCGGTTGTTGATGCAGAAAAAGTGTTCGATAAAATGTCGGCTTTGGGCCTTAGGCAGAATTCCATTAGCTTTGGGCTGCTTGCGTATTTGCATACAGTTAAGGGGCTCGACGGAAAGTGGTCGAGCCAGAGGGCTGATTGGTAGGGTTGGTATTTAGGATAAAAGCAGTTTCTTGCATAATGTGGTTTGTGGATAAGTGAAATCGGGTAAAATATGGAATTATGGGAATTTATTCAGCAAACTTGATAGTCGAAACCCAAAAGGTTTTGGATGGATGCCTTTCTGTATGCTCTGGTTAAAGGTGGGTTTTTCTTTTGNATACTGTGATGCAAGTTGTGGAGATATCTAATTGGGAAATGAAGATATACATGGATAAGCGGAGGTACAAACAGGCATTCATGGAGAAGCATAAGAAGGTGTCCAAGTTGAGACTTGAGGAAGAGGAATTTTAGGAAAATGAAGGGTTTGGTTGCCTTCAAGAACTGGACCGATTTGAGTATTGATTCAAGTTTTGCATTTATTAGACCAATTGACCATAAAAAGGATAATTCGGGGGGGTTTTTTTTCTCCTTTTTTTTTTGTGAAGAAGTTCCAGTGCGTGATATATAGTTCATAGCCTGACAGCCAAATGAATCCTACATTGGCTGAAAGAGTTGACATAAGTTGTCTTATATGTGATACTTAACATTGAAACTAGTTGTAAGTTTTATTATTGATTTATTTTATGGTTTATTTCAAAAAAGGGTGTTATGTGTTACAACTGTTATGATTATGCTCTAAGCATAACTTACAATTTATAAAGTGAAGCATCAAATACTCGTACAACTAATAACTCTCCACCAGCAAATTACATAGTGTTGGAAAGTCAGTTATAAAAACTTAGTATATACTCCAACATTAGGTTCCTAGATCGTAATCATGACCTCCTGATCTTCTTGTTGTAACTTTCTTGAGGTCGGATCTCGACCTCGACACCTTGAATTCCTTCTTCATATTCGAGCTTCTGAATGTCGCGACCTCTAGATTATCTTATCAGGTCAACCAATACCTTGAGCTACGTCTATGGACTCCCCGACTGGGTTAGTTTCTTTTTAGTGAGGTAGAGCTCCTCTAGACCGTCTTAACCTGAGCTTCCTGCTCAAGATGGCTTGTCGAGCTATTTTAATTTGAGTGCTACTTAAACATCCATTTGCTCGATTTGAGCTTGTTTGGAGGCCGTGCCACCAACATTCGACCTCGACCTCTTTTTGCCCAGGTTCATTTAAGTGAGAAGAGGATTAGTAAGCATCTTGGTCTTGGTCACTACGGAGTTGGAGCTGGTCTGGTCAAGATAGGTCGTGTCTCGATGTGGCCCACTCCACTAGAGTGGGAAAGACCTTTCCCTTTCAGAAAATTAGATTGCGTGAATACTATAGTCGAGGGCATAGACGAATAATTGTAAGTTTTCGTTGATCATTCACGCGACCAATTGTCATATCAAATAGCTATAGCTGGATCTTCGTTGTTGGTAAGAAAAAAATTAAAATTTCTCTGTGCGTGCGCTAAATTTTGTAAGTCTAAAATCTAACAATTATTTATTTCATGCGAATAAGTTGCACTATTATTACAACATTATTTTTATGCATATCCCGTCAAAGATGTGTAATTTCGCATTTTGCTTTTGACACTCACACCATACATAATGTATGCACCCACACATTGGTTGTGCATCCTTTATAAATTGTCTAGCATTATTATTGTGTGATTGGTAATATTTACAGATAAATTATTCAAAACAAATGAGACATATATCAGTAATCATAATTGCCTCGACTCTTTTAAGTATAGTGAATATCTTTTGCAGGCAACTTCCGCGTAATTACTAACTAGTGCAATACATAAAAGTGAAGGTTGGTAGCAAAAGGACACATAAAAAACACTTTCCACGCGATAAGCTTTTACAATGGAGCGCTCTTGAAAAAGAATGTGGAAAATATATCTTATAAACCGAATTGTATAGTTTTACGTTATTTTTCAAAAGTGTGACGTTAAACAAAATAAGCTTTTTTTATATGAAAATTTAAATTATTATAAAAAGCGAAGACAATTAACATAACAACTCACATAAGTAGTAATTAAGTACATGGATATATTCCAAAACAAACAAAGTACATTGCAAACACACCAAAATTTATTTATGCTACAAAACTTTGGTACTCCTAGCGAGAACACACAGGGCACCGTGCATCGAAAACACAAAATAAGACCTCAATATCAGTGACGGATCCAGAAATTTTACTCAGGGGAGTCTGATTTTAAATGTTATATAACAAGCTTGCAGTTTAAGTCAAAACGCTCATTTCATATAAAATGTATTTACTATAAATATAAATATCGATATGTGTACCGTCAAGTTTTTTAAAACTTAGAATCCTATCACCCTCAATTTTTTAATTTTTTTTTGCTTATAAAAGTTAGATTTCAAGTATTTATAATTTAACTTCAATATCTAAAAGTTGTGGAAAAATAAGTTTTTTGGTTGAAAATTTTATTTAAATCGAACTTTTACAGCACATTGCATAGTATTTTCATTGATGAGAGCATATCAATTGAACAATTTTTAAGAAAAAAAAAATAAAGTTAAAAATATATGATCACACGAAAATAAGTAAGAAATCAACATTAGAAAATGTAACAATCCAACTAAATACTCGGTTTTATATCACTAAATCGATTTACAATTAAAAGACTGAAAGAGTAAATCATTATAAATATTTTCAAAAACTTATTTAGAAATGTAAGATATAAAGATTGTTAGTACATTTTTCAACAAATAAATAATGTTATAAATATTTTTTTCTTGTATTTTTATACATATTTTATAGTATTTTCTTTATATATATATATATATATATATATATATATATATATTTATAAAAATAAGGGGGGTCCATGGCCCTCTGGGCCTCATCTGGCTCTATCAATGCTCAATACAAACACAACAAAGACAAAAGTGTTGAAATGTAGACACCTCGACTTTATTATTATTACAAAATCACGACATCAGAGCAGTTGGGCCGCACTAGAGTTGAGGAGTATGTGCCTTAATGGGTTGTCGACTTGAGAACCGCCCGCATGGATAATGAACTCTGCCAGGTGAATGGAAAGTTTCATGGCAGACACACCACCCTCAACTCCAAATAAATAAAATTAGTTTCTAATCTTGGGGATACCTTTTGAATCACTTTNATTATCAATAATCAGAGAAAAAAAAAATACATATCTGGACAATAGTATTTTTTTTCTAGAAACACAAACTAGATGGTGAGTTAATATGAGTAAGAGCTTTGAGATTGTTGTGACTATATTATTTTGTTATGTTTTAATTAGAATAGGTCAACTAAAATAAAAAGCATATCTACTATTATCTATTCTCATTATATCTCGGGAAGAAGGTAATTTACATTAACCAAGTTTTCAATAACCAATATGTCGTTGTTCCATCTGTGCATGATTTAATAACAAATCTACATCTCCTAATCCCTATATGGTTAAGGAAAATTTCATAGGCAATTCAACGAAGTATATTGTATTAGATTTAAATGTTAGACTAAACGTGGTCACTATAAAAAGTGAAGAAAAAAAGTGAAAGTTATATTGTATTGGATTTAAATGTTAGACTAAACGTGGTCACTATAAAGAGTGAAGAAAAAAAGTGAAAGAAAACAACACGTCTACAGAACATATTGATTGGTTGAGGGTGAGAGTGAGTGACACATGCATATAGGTCACGATGTTATGTTATATAATTACAGTAAAATTGATTAATATTATTTTGTATGTTTCACGCCATTTATAAGAATTCATAATTTCACAATGTAAAAAAATAAAAGGTTTGAAATTATTTTGCTTTTCCAAAATTATAAATGAATAGCTGATATGGTTTTGATCAAAGGGATAGATAAGTTCCATGGATAATTTTACAACATCTTTATTATTATATTTGACCACTTTAAAGTTTACTAGAATTTATCTAATGTATTATCAGTACGGTTTATATAATCTGTAAATATTAATGAAAATTGTCATGTGATAATACTCAAACTTTTCCTCCCCTATCCCATTAAACAGATGTGAATCCCAGCTCGCCGATTTTAAGATCTCCATTCTCTAGATACGAAACTGACCCGCCTAATTGACGGTTTCGTTTTGGAACCCGCGGTGTTGGTTAGAGGAACATGGGTTGGTACCGTTCGGAGATTGACAAATATATTGAAATTCGAAGATCATTAAACTTCGATCTCTGAAACCGTACCAAAAAATTGGTTCGATTCGGTTCAGACATTTTTATTTTTCGGTTCAGTTCGGTATGGTATTCGGGACTATCGGAATGGTTCGGTTCGTTTGGTTCGGTTCGGATATTCGGAGATTTCTAATTATTTTTTAAATTTTTTTGAATGACCACCTAGTTATAATTAAATGTTATACGTTTTTTTTTTTTCTCTAATTCAACATTCATCATACTAAAGATTTTTTTTTTAAAGTAACTCTAAGTTTTAGTTAAGACTAAATTTGTTCAACTGACCTTGAAAATTTAAAAACCAAACAAAATATAATATAATTTTTATATTATAAGTAATAATTCTTTAACCTTCTATACCATGTTAGTTATAAGATAGAATAAACATCGACAAATTTAAGTAAAGTTTGAATATTTTTTTACAAAAATATTTTTTTAACCATTCATACCCTTTTAAATATATATTTTTATTAAACAGGAGATTCAATTTAGATCAAGTATTACTAAGTATGAAATTTAAGTGAAGCTTAATTTCTATTACAATATTTTATTTGCATTTTAAAAATTATCAAACTATATAGGATCAAAGTTGACATAAAATATATTAATACACACATCAATTTTTATAATTTGGTTCTTATTTTCGGTTTTTCGATTCGATACGGTATGAGACGGTTCGGTTCGATTCTCAGTGTGGATATTTGTGAAATCTCCAGAACCGTACTGATTATTTTTTCGGTTCGGTTCGGAGAAAGTCAAACGGTCAACGGTTATTTTTCGGTTTGGATTGATTTCGGTTCAATTTCGGAACGGTTTAGAATTCTCCGAGTCTCATGCTCAGTCCTAGCGTTGGTTCAGGTTCCCGTGCAGGCGGTTCAAAACCATTTCTGATCTTAAAATTTATTTTCAATTTTTTTTTCTACATTTCTAGTTCGAAATGGAGCCATCTATACATATAAAATAAGAATAGACTTAAATCAAATATAGTAAGTATTTCCCGCCATTATGCATTAATTACATTCTAATTATAGTAATTTTACACAATCCCTTAAGACAAATCTCGAAGCATTAATTGTAATCAGTTGTAACTTCCTTTAACAACCGGATTTATTGTTTTAAAAACATACTCCATAATATTTGATTAAACACTAGATCCAGCTGTTTGGAATCAATTCTATTTAAAAGCAATATTATTATGGAATCAAATATTATTTAGTATCTTTTTAAAAGTAGTATAATTATGTAATCAAATAATTTAACCACGATTCAATCTTTTTAATTCAATCTATATCTCTTTTTAGACTTATCAATTCATTTTAATATAATATAAATTTGCCGTAAAAATGAGAGTATGATGTTGACATCCGAGTTGGGTTTCCATAAGGTTCGCGGTTCGAGGACAAGGAACCGGAGGAAGACGACCTCAAAATGCGAACCGACCTTCGAGTGGCTGCGAGATGCCGATCTGACAAAGAAATTAAGATAACGAGGACAACGGATAGGCCCGAACGCGAGATCGGCACCTTCGAACTCAAGGGTGCCGAATAGAGAAAAAGGATCCCGAGGGCCGAAAGCTAAATAGATGGCGAAAGTCCGACATGAAGGTCCCCCGAAATCGGCTCCTGGACAAGTGCTGGACAAGAAAATCAATAAAATAATGTCACTTGTCGGCTAATGATTGTTGATGGGACACGCCACCTCAACCTACTGCCCCAGTATGTCTAATCCGACAGAAGAGCCTATCAGCATTTAATGCTTCCCCTAAGTGCATTAAATGTATGACAGGTAATGATGGAAGAAAACCTCAAATCGCATTTAATATCTGTCATAGCGGCGCCGACCTACATACTGAGGACACTGTATGACAAGACAGAGTGAACAGTGCATGAACAGTGCCGAATTTAAGGATTCTATAAATAGAAAACCCTCTTCATTTATGTTGGGTTGTTGAACCTTGTACCAACTACTTTCTCTCTCTACATTTACTCCCCCTATTCTGTAATAAATTCCCGTAAGGATCTCAAGTGTAATAAAAGTGTCGATCTCATTATCAGAGGCCGACCTCGTGATTAAGTAATAAAACTTTATTTCTCGTACATCTTTCTTATTCTCCGTCCTTATCAACTACTAAACTCTCATTTAACCGTTGATCGGATCCGTCTATCAACAGTTTAACGCTAGAAGGAGATCACCATAAGTTATTTGGTGTCAATTTTTTGACTTTGTGAAGCACCACTCACAACCTCTTTGTGCGAGCTCCGGCCGCCCTCAGCAGCGCCCAGCTGCAACCAGCACGCGCCAGCGGCCAGCCCGTAACCTGCCCGCGCCCGTGTCGATGCTGTGACCTCGAAATCCATTTTCTCGAGTCGTTTGGCCGATTTTCGAACTGTTGAACTCGTTTTTTGTGTGAACCTATTTTTAGCCTTCTTAAATTATTTTTCCAAGTTTTTCCCTTAAATCCAAGAGTTTCAAATTCTACAAAATTCCACGAGCTACGTAATAGATAATTTTCGACTAAGTATGAATTTCCTATGAAATTCCGAGTTATTGAGATAAGTATTTTAAAATATTATCTTAATTTAAAATGTAGGTTCTTGAGGAAGTCGAGCCTCACCGACCTATCCGAGCCTATGTGCTATTTACCTTCTTGTCTACTGATCAGGTGGGTGTTGATAAACTTTACCATGTTCGTTATTTTTTATAATTGTTTGGCTTGATAATCAATGTGGGCATGTGAACCACTAGTCTATGTGTGTTTCACCCGCTGATGGGTTATGCCGGCGGCTTTCTATTATTATGCCTTTGAGTGCTACTCCCACTGAGGGTTATGCTAGTGGTTAGTTTCCAACGAAGGGCCGTCAGGAGTTGTGTGTGCACATGAGATAGTAGGACTGTATAGGAGGTAGACTAAGTGATTTGTGTCTATTCTGCGATTATGATTTTAAATTATTATATATTGAATATACTGCATGGTATTCCCACAGTGAGCTTGTTGTTTGCTCATCCTCACTATTTTCTCCCTTTTCAGGTTGAGCTTGTGGCCGTGGCATAAGACGAGCGAGTGAGGTCATTATTAACTGTTATTATGAGCTGCTTTTATGCTTCCGCCTATTGTTATCATTTTGCCAGACTTATATGATTGTTTTGGAGAATAGGTTTCGATTATGAATTGAATTAATAAGCATGACTTGGTTTCTGGTTTTGAATTAAGTATTATGATATTGTTTCGAGACTTATTGATGAGCACACTATTATGTTTTGATTTGAGTATTTGACTATGTGTTTATCCGGGATGGTTTATTCCCAAGGCTTATGTCAGTACTTAAGCATATGAATTGAATGTTGATTGAATAATGTTCGTTAATCGAATTCAAATGATTTCCAAAAATTTAACTCTGATTTTTAGAAAAATTCGGTATTTTTCTTTTAAAAACAACAGGGCGTTACACTTTAGTTCTAATTGGGTAGATATGGCTTGTTCTCTTGTTTTGAGTCTTTTCTCAAGTTTGAACACTCCAGTGCAAGTGAAGTCTAGATATTTCTTCAATGTCTCATCTTTTAATTAATTGATTCATTGTTTAACTTAATTTAGTTCAAAAATCAATCCCTCGATCGTTCTTAGAATGTTTAGGACTTTATTTTTTCTTTTTGTGATTTGAACAACTAGTAGACAAAGCTCCAAATAGTCTTAATAAGAGACGACCCGAGTAAGATCCTTCGATCGTACTCGACTAAAAACAACTAAACACGTATACAAGTATACAACTTATACTTCAAATAATGAGCGATAATAGGTCAATACGACGAAATGAACTACGAAAATACGAAAAAAAACACATACCAAAAATCACTATTCTCATAAATTTATAAGAAGAAAATAAAAGGAGGTCGTCCGATTATCATGGTTGGCTCATTAAGTTAGAGTTAACCATCAAATTGGACCCAAATACCCAAAGCCCACAAATTACATGTGCCCTCTCAATGAGATTTAGTTTTATCAATATACCAAAAAACATACTCTTCAGATAAGTGACCATCATCAATTTGATGGGTGGTCTCGACTAGTCCTCCTTGGCCCGTGACCGGAAGATCGGCCCACTTGAGAGTACCTGGCCCGGCCCACCTCATAATCAGACCTGTTACCATTGCCATTTCTAAAGCCAGTCCTCGTTGGGGACCTAACTCTACCTGTAGCTGTATGGAACAATTTAAAATAAATCAGAATTTTCCAAACATAAAAAATGTTAAGCCCACACAACCTTTTTCTATTAGTAGCGTAGATTCCAGTTTTGAATGTGTGAGAAAAAATTACCGGTAGATCTCTTTTGTGCAATATAGGCTTCCTTTTCGCCAAATTTGACATGATGAACCTGCAAAACACTAAACATTAGTCGTATTTTAAGAAATTGAATAAAAAGATACTGATATCATAATGAAAAATTTCAAATACCACATGAAGATATCTTAAATCTAAAACAAACACACTCGCTTGTAGTTCGTATGTATATCCTATAAATAAATACTCCATCTCGAAAGACAAACTCATATCAATGAAATATTCGTAATCTTGGGCAATGATTTTGCTTCATTTTATTTTAATAAGTCTAAACAACAGAGGTATTTTCGTAAATAAAACTATACACTTAGTGAGCTCAAGCTTTATTCAGTAGTAACAATTAGGTACCTCGACTGCACGACGAGCAGAATCAGCAGATTCGAATTCAACAAATGCAAGACAAAAACCATCCTGGAAAAATGAAGTAAAAAGACAAAAAAGCAGACTCATCAGAGGAACAAGAAAATCATAAAACCAAGAATATGAATATAAGTAAATCAAATCCAAAAGGCATACGTTATGTTTCCTAATCTGGACAGCATCTGAATATTTTCTGATAGGCCCAAACTGTTTCAAGGCGTCCCTTAGAGCTTTTTCAGTTATCTCGTACGGCAAGCTTCCAACAAATACTCCTTTGGCTGCATTTTATTTTCGGTGGCTCAAAATTAAGGTGTAGGTGGAGAAGATGAAGTAAATAAAGAAGGAGAATTACCTTCTGGTGGGGTTTTTGTTTCGGGTTCACTTTTCCCAGCTGTTGGTGATTTAGACACGATTTTGCTCGAAGATTTTGGGATGCCATTCTTGAGAGGAGCTTTTGGACTTGGAGTGACCACTGCAGACTTCGGTGTAGCAGATTTTGGGGACGTTATAGGGGCATCTTTCGCCACCTTCATATAAATAACAATTTTTTTAAGCACAAGGTCAATCATTTTGACAAGATGATGTTATTTGCAAAAGTTCCCCTCTGATTTAGCCTAATTACACACACACACACACACACAGAGAGAGAGAAACTAACAATCATTTGAAGTTGCATACACACCCTACTGTTTGTCTCTTACACAAATTGCACAACCAAGAAGGGATTTTTTTGTAATTTTTGAACAGCACTGGTGGCTTTTGTAATTAGAGCAAATTTCAGAGGTGCAATTAACAAGAGAAAAGGAATTTGAAGAGGAAGTTCAGATAACACACCATGGAAGCATAAGAGAGTTTCGGAGGCATGTTTGCATTTGAGACGGCTACAACTATTGAAGGCACCTTTGGAGTTGTGCTTGCATTTGAAGCTGGTACAACAATTGAAGGCACCTTTGGAACTGCCTTTTCATCTGAAGTAACAGGAGATAATGATGAAGAGCTTTTTGCAACAGAGTCCTTAGGAACAACAGAATTATCGAGGGCTTCCTTGATTTCAGCTTTTTCTGTTGGCGGGGATTTAGAGCTATCAGATACATTGCCTCCTTCTGACAATGGCAAGGGTAAGAGTAAGGGTTTAAAGGAAAGTGAAACGAAGAAAAAGGATAATAACTAGAAATACCAGTAACTGAATAAGCTTAAAGAAGTTATTGATTAAAGCAAAAGCGAAAAGTAGACTTTGCATGTCGGGGTAGTGTTCGCTATCAGAAATTTGGCAATTGCAACAAAAGGTTAAAAGTTGACTACTTTAAATGATAGTTCTTGTATGAATATATGATAAAAGTGCACATGTTATCCTAAGAAGTTCCAGGTACAAACACAATAAAGAAATCTAAACAACTTCTCCTTAGCTTTTAGAATCATTACTCAATACAATTGTTTTCAAACAAAGTCTGGTCACAATTCTTTTTTCCTTCACTGGATCATATGCAAAAAAATTGTAAAACCTAGAAATAATATATATATATATATATAATTACTGTTAAGAGTGCACGAATCTACCAGAGGTTTGCAAGGGAAGAGGATTAGCAGCAGCATTGGTCATGGACCCAAATGAATCAAAAATCCGAAGATTGTCATTCAACACAAAGAAGCCATTCTCTTGCTTGGCCAAAAAGAAGGTCTGAAAGAAGATATTAGTCACTTCGTCATCCTCAATCAAAGAACCAGTTACTGCTACAATAAACCCTCCATCTTGAGAGGCCTGAGCATCAACAGTATTGATCTCCATCGTGAAATTCTTGAAATCAGATGACATAATCTTCTCATTAATTGCCTGCATCAATGTATTATGGACTGAAAGAGAATCTTCGTATTTTGATAGTATGGAGAAAATAGAAAGTAATGGTGTTTGATTAGCACAAACAATTTTCAGAAACTACTTACGTTCAACGTTGTGACAGGGGCCAAATTACCATCAAAATCAGGCCAGGATAGAAGGCTCGACTCATTATAAAACTTATAGGAATATTGGGGAGAATCAGAGAGGATCTTATAATAGCGTAGCACAAAAGAATCTGCCACGATTTGAGGAGTTATGGTTTCGCCCATATCTGTAAATTTAAAAGGCAACATTGTTGTGTAAGTGATCAAGGAAGAAAATAATATTCGTGTAATACACGAAAAACAGATTACACACGTATATACACATAATCACTCCCATGCATATGTTACACACACCATGTTGAGGAATGGAACTTAAAAGGAGAAACAATTAGCAATTCTTCTTCATGAATTTAGAAAACGGACATAAATTACAACTACCATTGGAAAAAAAAAAAAGGCATCAAAAGCAGGAAGTGATAGCAATTAGTTTGGAATGATTAATATAACCAACATAAACAGAATCCTATAAGCTCGAAGGTAAGCAGAATATATTAAAAGCAGACAGATAACATGTAACCTAGTTGTTACTTTTCTATGAGATGTTTAAGATTGATAGGAAACATTTGATTGGAGAAGGTTTGTTCGAAACAAAAGATTGCAAGTGAAATATGAGCGAACAATCAGATAAGCAATGACCATATAAAAGTTTGATTGATCATGAACCAGCATAGTTGATAATTTCGAAACAGGCAAGTTGTTACACCCTATTAATTCAATAGGCATTAACGTCGACATATTTCACAAGGACATGCATACAACAAAGTTTATATAGAGAGCAACTCGGAAAGCACTATATGTTTCAATTAACATAAATTAAACTAATGGACGTTTTTACATGGAATTTGAAATTCACCTTTTAATATTAGCAGATTTGCAGAAAGAACAAGCACTCAGAGGTTCAAATAAATAATTTCAAACCAAACAAAAAAAGGGAAAGCAGAAGACACAAACTTATAATATATCTACACAACAGTGAATCAAATCAAATAAATAAGCAATCATAAACTAATTAACTGAGTAACTGTTCTGAGTATCTCATGGGCACACGGAAATTACATAAAACATTCACATATAACACAAGCACAACCAAAACATTAATAAAAAATTAAGAACAATCGGGCACCTAAATTAAGGAATAAAGAATTCAAGAATAATACAAAAATAACCCAGGTGACCAAGTTGTCAACCTGTTCTACGCAATTTCAAATAGATCTTAAACTTTTCCACGATGCCAAATAAAATAAACAAAAATAATAATAAATCCAATGTTTAAACAAAATAATCATGAACATCTGATAAACACCGTCCCGGCAATAAAAGAAAAACTGTAAGGAGCAACAAAAGTTCAGGACACAAATGAACGCCTAAAAAAAGCACACAAGAACAAAGAAAGAAAAATTTTCACTCTGCAACAGGTCCAAAATCCAGAAACAAGGAGAAGGGTACAACAAAAATCAAATCTTTGACAAATAACACTTCGAGTTTTTATGTACTTCGCACAAACAGATACCTATACCCAGTGAAAACAGCCCACAAATTAGAAAAGGCGGAGAAAAAAGCAAAGGGTTTGACCTCTTAGAACTCGAAAGCGGCAGACGGAGATATTTGAGAGATTTCAACAATGCCCTTTTTCCGGAAAAAGGGCAAAGGGTAGAAAAAGGGGGAATTTTTTTTCCAAAAGAGTCGAGAAGAAAAAACGCTGAAGAAAAAATAGGTCTTGGATACAGAACATTACTTGGCCAAATTTATAGCGAGTCGAAAATAATAAATAAAGAAAATTGGAAGGCGGTGACATTTGCAAGCCATGTTTGTTTCCTCACTTCGAATCCAAATATTTCCTTTGCTGCAGAAATCTTGGTTTGGGAGGGAACCTTGGTGAGTTTTAGGAAATAAACAAGCTGGCAAGGATCGGGCCCACCTTGGATTTGTAGCTGTTTTATTTTGAGGTTTCTCCTGCATGGGATTTTGAAAGCAAGTGGGGTCTGCTTCTAAATTTATGAAATTGATGTATGTTTTCTTACATATGAGTTGTGCATAATCACTAATATTTTTTATCCATATATATATATATATATAATTGCTGACAAGTTCTAATAAATTTTATTCAGTCATCAATTAATAGTAATATGAGTTCATTTAATAAAAATAGGATGATCATTTAATAAAAATATGTTTACTATTTAATAATAATATGTAACTTTCAGTTACAAAATTTATTTTGACAAGTCTATTTTAGATTGTGTCAATTTTTGTAATGCCGTTTAATGTTCTGAAATACAAAATATTTTTATTTTTATATTGATACTATATATTTTTTGGTACTATATAAATACATATTTCACAATTAAGTAAGTATGACTAAAAATATCTCTATTTTCTATTGCAATCATACAATAATAAAATAATATTTTTTGGTTATTATAAATATACATCAAATATTTTTTCGGATATTAAAAGATATATCAAATATTTTAATAATCAAATCCCAAATGTCACGAGTCGAAGAAGTTTAATAATAATGATTTGTTGTGATGGGGATTCTGACGATATGAAAACCACAAATGTTGTATGTAAAGAAGTGTTTAATAATATTTAGATTCGCTTTTTAAATTTTTTTTCTCATTTATTAAGTTTTGATTTTTATTTTATTCTATATTTTTAATTACTTTTTCTTCTATTATATCGTTTTTCATGCAAATGCACAGGATAAAACTAGTTAAGAATAAGTTGAACCGTTAGATCGATCGAATCTTCATAACTTTATAATAATAATAGTAGTAGTAGTAGTAATAATAATAATAATAATATATATATATATATGCTAATTAATTTTATGTTTCCCTTTTAACGATCAAAAACAAAATAATATATATATATATATATATGTTATAAAATTTCATATTTTATTTTTTTAATGATATTTTAATTTGTATACACATCTGTTGAAAAATTATTACAATTATTTTGGACGTAAATGAATAGTGGGAGAGCAACTCAAAATTGCGCAGTTTAACATGTATTAAAAGTGAAATATTATTTAGGAGGTAAGGTTAAAAAATAAAGATAGTTAGGAGGTAAATAAAAATAAATAAATTATTTTTCAACAAAAATCATTATTCATTCATTCACACACTCTAATTAATATTTTATTATTTGATATGACATCAACTTTATTAATTATATTTTTATTTTATTACAGAGACTCGATTTTGTTTAAGGCTATGTTTGGTAAAACTAGCTGATAAGCTAGCTTATAGATTATTTGTAGTTTTATAGCCTAAGGGCGTGATTGTTTATAAGTTGTACAGTAAATATCCCACTCAAAACTCAAATTTAACTCAACTTTAACTCAATTCCACTATCTTCAATATTATCAATATAATCAAATAATATCAAACAATTATTATTACACATCACATCAACTTTAATTCACTATTCACCCACTCACATAATTTTAACTAACCATCACTTCCAATCATTTTCTCCTACTTTTACATCAAATCAACTTTAATTATTTTAATTTAAATATTATTTTAATATATCCACTAACAATTAATCATATTAGTTTTTTTCAAACTTAACTATAGTTAAAAAAAAACTAGTTTTTTACTAGTTGAATTCATATCCAATCACCCCCTAAGTTTTTTGAAAATATGTTTTTCACTTTTTTCTTGTTTATTTCAAATGAGACAAAAAATTGTCGATAATCTTATATTTAGAATGTGTATGGTAAGCATTATAAGCTTATTTGTTAGCTTATAAACTTATTTTATGTTTCCAAGTAAGTCTTATCTGGTCGGATGGACTTTTGGAAACAAAATCAAGCTTACCTCATGTTTATCGAGCAATCTACTGAAATTTTTGTTTTGGCTAACTTATCAGCTATTTCAACAGGCATTTTATTATAACAATTATTTTTTTAGTTATCAACCACAAACTATCAATTCAAAGTTAATTTATAAGAGTTAGGTACTTAGGTTTTTATTTAGATCTACCAAATATATCCAATAAGCTATATGTTGAATTATCAATTTTATCCAGTTGTATGTGTGTACTTGGCAGTGATAGTGTCACATCACGTCAAAAAAATGTAAATGGATCTGATTGGGCATCACGTTACGCCAAGTCGCGTTTTTATCCAGGGTGTGGATAAAAAGTGCCAAAATTAATTAAATATTCCTAAATTATTGAACCCAATTTAAAAGTGGTAAATGACGGGGTAGATTTTTTGGAATTTAGACAAATTATAGGACCAATTTTGAATTTTGGTCTAATTATTATTATATATATATAGATAAGGCAATGCAAAAAATTAGGCATTGTGTAAGTTATTACAATTTATAGTACGAATTTAAACTATGTAAAATTTCATAATTTTGCTGCCAACTAATCTATTGCTATATAATAGAGAGAAGAAAAAATACAAAATAGAATGCAAGTTTACCGCTCTTTTTTTCGTTTTTTTACCAATAAAGGAATTTATTTTTTTTAAATTTTTTGGTAAATCCCGCCTAAATGTATTTTGAATTTTTTTGGAAAAATTTTAAATCCAAACATTTAACAAAAGATTACATGTAGATTTTTTTGGTCCAACTTATCGCATTTTAATTAAGCACACATATCCATTAAAATTCGCGGTTGTTGGCTCGAGAAAGAGAATCCACATCATATAAAATTATTAACTAATATTTATAAGTAGATTGCTTATAATTATTTAAATATACCTACAAAAAATAAAAGCAATAAAAATGTGCAGTTATTCCCTACCATCAAATTCAAAGTGAACCAAATACAAATAACAAAAGTGTCAGGTTCCATATATATTAGAAAAGTTTATTTGTAAGAATATGTTTTTGTTTTAATTTTATCAAAATAAATTCAGAAAAAAGTAATAATTATATTAATAAGAACAATGTAATCACATTGTGCACAAACTGTAATTGAAAAATATAAAGATCCGAATTGCATTCATGTTTATCCAATTATATTATTGCCTAAAAAAATACACTATTTTAAATATATGCATATATTTACCTGACATATCTAATAAATTCTTTATTTGGCAGAATCTTTCAATATATAGATATATTAATTATTTTCATATGTAGCATAATTTCATCGATAATCCTATTGAAGGAATGATAAAATCCATATGGTAAATGACATAAAAATATCAAAAGGTACCGTAACTAATTTTGTAATATTAGAAAATTTTAATTCATATATCTGCAAGTACTTAGTATTTACAGTGCATATTCTAAGGGGAAATCGTAAATCTTTCAATATTAAATATATTCCAAAAATTTGTTACTAGTATCAATTTATGGTAGGGAATAACTGGTATGTATATAAATTGTAACCAATTTATGGTTGGAACCAATTATTTAAATACATCTACAAAAGATAAAATAAATAAAAATGTGCAGTTATTCCCTACCATAACTGGTATGTATATAAATTATAGGGAATAACTGGTTGCAATGGATATGGAATATTGCGGCTATTATAAGATACTAGTGATAATTCAAAAAATTGGTATGTATTCCTCTTGAAAATCAAAAAGATCTTGGAACAAATATTGGTTAATAAAATTTAAAATTTGTAATTTAATTCTATAGAATGAATTAATAAATTTGAGCGATAAGGTAACCAAAAACAAATTTGGAAAATTGCTAAATAATATATAAATATTATATATATATATATAATATAATATAAGGGAATTTAGTCCAAATATAGGCTCCAAACTTAAAAGTCAAATAATTAATTATTCATAATTTACGGGTCAATATTAACTTGAACATAAATGGAATAGTCGATTATTCATAATTTATTAAATTACTCAACTACTTAATTTTTTTTAAAAAATTTGGACAACTTATACAAAAATAAAATCATGTTAATTAATGAAACAATATAAGTTTTATAATTATACTTATTATTCACGTAGATTTTTAAATATATGGTAAAATTTTGCCACAATAATTATTTTATGAAATCACATTGGCATCAAATCAAATTTATGAATAAAAATTTTAAAATACACTCATTTTGAAACGAATATAATTAATTTATTATCAGTTACGTGCACCGTACGGGTTGTGTACTAATTTTAAATAGACATATTTTATGTATTTTGCACAATTTAAATTTTATAACATTTTCAATAAATTAAAATAGATAAATTGTGTTACATATTGATTCTATATTTTTAATTTATAAATATTATCTAATAAGTAATTTTAATTTATAAATATTAATAATGAGTATGTCTTATGCGTGCATCGCACAAAATTCGTACTAGTATTTTACAGAAATTTGTAGGAACAAATTTTCTATTGAGCACTTTATACCGAAGTCAAAAGGAGAAATTGTGCAAATAACCCACTACAACAAAAAGGGGTTCCAACAACATAAATATGGTGACTTTCTTAATAAGTGTAATTAAAACTAAAGTATTTGTGACGTGTTTTACAAAGCGTAACAAGGATATAATTATAACAACACTTTTTAAAAAATGTAATCAAATAATGTCACTTTTTAAAAAGTGTCACCGTATTAACCAATATTGAGACATTTATTTAAAAAGTGTCACCGTGTTAATGACGCATAAAATAAGCTCATACATTAGAATTTACGACTCTAAAAATCTATGTCGCATCTCGTAATAATAATGACGCAATCAAAAAAGAGTCATCCATTAAAAACTACTTACACTAATATATTATGTCACTAAATTATGTACTAACGACGCACTTTTGAAAAAGTGTCGCGTATTAAAAATTACCTACGCATTTAGGTTGCTTCACAAATAAATTCGTGGCATCAAATTTAACAGCGCAACTCGTGATACTTTTGCAAGTGTAGGTAAATTTATTTGTGACATTAATAAATGTCACCAAATAAAAAATAAACGTCACTAAATGCAATTTTTGTTGTGATGACCTCGCAATAGCATTTTTGTATTTAAATAACCCCATGTTTAAATAAGTATGAAAGAGAATTGTAAATGCCTAAAAATACCCTATATGATAAAATGTCTTTATTACATTTCCTATAATTTTTTTTTCTTCCAAGATGATACCCGATGCTTTTCTTCTCTTTTCGTTTCTTTCTCTTTTTATTTTCTTCTTCTTTTTTTCTTCCATCAAAGATGATTTGAATTTGAGCTTAAGAAAATATTGAAGAAAATATTCTTCAAAATGTGTACTTATGAGAATGGTTCAATTCCAATAATTTTAAAAATTTTAATTACGGTGGAATATATTGATGGAATAAAACAGCATTAGGGTTTTTTACAATTGAAACTTAGTAGACACTTTCATTTGAACGATTGTTGCATGTTTTTCGTGCTTTATGTAGGATACTAATTTGTAGATAAATATTATAAACAACAATACTTTCACGTTTGATTATGATTTACATATAACGATGGTATAGTCGTTACGGGCTTTAAATAATAATACCAATATACCACACTCGTTATTTAACTTTCACGTAACAAGTATCGTCATGATAAATTTACTAGACATGATATATTTATCTGTTTCAGAATTAAAAGACAAATATACCCTCCCTCATCCGACACACAATATCATCCGCCATGTTCTTTTTCCAACACTCCTCGTCGGCGAATGATTTTTTCCAATTTCAATACCCATTTCACAAATTTGTTCGCCAGAAATGTACCGGCAACTTGCACAGAAAATTGGTCGAGGGAATTATCGAGGGCTTTCTTGACAGCAGCTTTTTCGGTTGGCGGGGATTTAGAGCTATCAGATACATTACCTGCTTCTCACAATGGCAAGGGTAAGAGTAAGTGTTTATAGGAAAGTGAAATGAATAAAAGGATAATAACTAGAAATTAATACCACTAACTGAATAAGCTTAAAGGAGTTATTGATTAAAGCAAAAGCAAAAAAAAAGTAGAATTTTCTTGTTGGGGTAGTGTTCCCTATCAGAAATTGGCAATTGCAACAAAAAATTAAAAGTTGGCTAATCTAAATGATAGTTCTTGTATGAATATATGATAAAAGTGCACATGTTCTCCTTAGCTTTTAGAATCATTACTTAATACATTTTTTTTCAAACAAAGTCTAGTCACTAATAATTTTTTCCTTCACTGGATCATATGCAAAAACTATATAAAACCCACAAACAATATATATATATATATATATATATATATATATATAATTAGTGTTAAGATTGCACGAATCTACCAGAGGTCTGCACGGCAAGAGGATTAGCAGCAGCATTGGTCATGGACTCAAATGAATCAAAAATCCGAAGATTGTCGTTCAACACGAAGAAGCCCTTCTCTTGCTTGGCCAAAAAGAAGGTCTGAAAGAAAATATTAGTCACTTGACCATCCTTAATCAAAGAACCAGTTACTGCAATAATAATCCCTCCATCTTGAGAGGCCTGAGCATCTACAGTATTCATCTCAACTGTGAAATTCTTGAAAACAGATGACATAATCTTCTCATTAATTGCCTGCATCGAAATTTTGGAATCCACTATATTTAGGCTGAGTATACGTATGACTTTAATAGAATTAGAATATGAAAGAGAATCTACGTATCTTGATAGTATGGCGAAAATAGAAAGTAATGGTGTTTGATTAGCACAAACAATTTTCATAAAGTGCTTACGTTCAACGTCGTGACAGGGGCCAAATTACCATCAAAATCGGGCCAGGATAGAAGGCTCGACTCTTTATAAAACTTGTAGGAAATTTGGGGAGAATCAGATAGAATCTTATAATAGTTTGTCACGAAAGCATTTGCCACGGTTTGAGGATTTATGGTACCATCCATATCTGTAAATTGAAAAGGTAACATTGTTATGTAAGTGATCAAGGAAAAAAATAATATTCGTGTAATACACAAAAAAACAGATTACACGTATATACACATAATATCACTCCCATGCATATGTTACACACGCCGAGTTGAGGAATGGAACTTAAAAGGAGAAACAATTAGCTATTCTTCTTCCTGAATTAAGAGTGGACATAAATTACAACTACCATTGGAAACAAAAGGCATCAAAAACAGGAAGTGATAGCAATTAGTTTGGAATGATTAATATAACCAACATAAACAGGATCCTATAAGCTCGAAAGTAATCAGAGTATAATAAAAGCAGACAGATAACATGTAACCTAGTTGTTACTTTTCTATGATATGTTTAAGATTGTTAGGAAACATTTGATTGGAGAAGGTTTGTTCGAAACAAAAGATTGCAAATGAAATATGAGCGAACAACCAGATAAGCAATGACCATATAAAAGTTTGATTGATCATGAACCAGCATAGTTGATAATTTCGAAACAGGCAAGTTGTTACACCCTATTAATTCAATAGGCATTAACGTCGACATATTTCACAAGGACATGCATACAACAAAGTTTATATAGAGAGCAACTCGGAAAGCACTATATGTTTCAATTAACATAAATTAAACTAATGGACGTTTTTACATGGAATTTGAAATTCACCTTTTAATATTAGCAGATTTGCAGAAAGAACAAGCACTCAGAGGTTCAAATAAATAATTTCAAACCAAACAAGAAAAGGGAAAGCAGAAGACACAAACTTATATTATATCTACACAACAGTGAATCAAATCAAATAAATAAGCAATCATAAACTAATTTCAAACCAAACAAGAAAAGGGAAAGCAGAAGACACAAACTTATATTATATCTCATGGGCACACGGAAATTACATAAAACATACACATATAACACAAGCACAACCAAAAAATTAATAAAAAATTAAGAAAAATCGGGCACCTAATTTATGTAATAAAGAAGTCAAGCATAATACAAAATTAACCCAGGTGACTAAGTTGTCAACCTGTTCTACGCAATTTCAAATAGATCTTAAACTTTTCCACGATGAACAAATAAAATAAACAAAAATAATAATAAATTCAATGTTTAAACAAAATAATCATGAACATCTGATAAACACCGTCCCGGCAAGAAAAGAAAAACTGTAAGGAGCAACAAAAGTTCAGGACACAAATAAACGCCTAAAAAAAGCACATAAGAACAAAGAAAGAAACATTTTCACTCTGCAACACGTCCCAAAGTCCAGAAACAAGGAGAAGGGTATAACAAAAATCAAATCTTTGACAAATAACACTACTGAGTTTTTATGTACTGCGCACAAACAGATACCTATACCCAGTGAAAACAGCCCACAAATTAGAAAAGGCGGAGAAAAAAGCAAAGGGTTTGACCTCTTGGAACTCGAAAGCGGCAGACGGAGATATTTGAGAGATTTCAAGAATGCCCTTTTTCCGGAAAAAGGGCAAAGGGTAGAAAAAGGGGGAAATTTTTTCCCAAAAGAGTCGAGAAGAAAAAAACGCTGAAGAAAAAAACAGGTCTTGGATACAGAACGATTACTTGGCCAAATTTATAGCGAGTCGAAATGAATAAAAAAAAAAAATTGGAAGGCGGTGCCATTTGCCAGCCTATGTTTGTTTCCTCACTTCGAATCCAAATATTTCCTTTGCTGCAGAAATCGTGGTTTGGGAGGGAACCTTGGCGAGTTTTAGGAAATAAACAAGCTGGCAAGGATCGGGCCCACCTTGGATTTGTAGCCGGTCAATTTTGAGGTTTCTCCTGCATGGGATTTTGAAAGCAAGTGGGGTCTGCTTCTAAATTTATGAAATTGATGTATGTTTTCTTACATATGAGTTGTGCATAATCACTAATATTTTTTATCCATATATATATATATATAATTGCTGACAAGTTCTAATAAATTTTATTCAGTCATCAATTAATAGTAACATGAGTTCATTTAATAAAAATAGGATGATCATTTAATAAAAATATGTTTACTATTTAATAATAATATGTAACTTTCAGTTACAAAATTTATTTTGACAAGTCTATTTTAGATTGTGTCAATTTTTGTAATGCCGTTTAATGTTCTGAAATACAAAATATTTTTATTTTTATATTGATACTATATATTTTTTGGTACTATATAAATACATATTTCACAATTAAGTAAGTATGACTAAAAATATCTCTATTTTCTATTGCAATCATACAATAATAAAATAATATTTTTTGGTTATTATAAATATACATCAAATATTTTTTCGGATATTAAAAGATATATCAAATATTTTAATAATCAAATCCCAAATGTCACGAGTCGAAGAAGTTTAATAATAATGATTTGTTGTGATGGGGATTCTGACGATATGAAAACCACAAATGTTGTATGTAAAGAAGTGTTTAATAATATTTAGATTCGCTTTTTAAATTTTTTTTCTCATTTATTAAGTTTTGATTTTTATTTTATTCTATATTTTTAATTACTTTTTCTTCTATTATATCGTTTTTCATGCAAATGCACAGGATAAAACTAGTTAAGAATAAGTTGAACCGTTAGATCGATCGAATCTTCATAACTTTATAATAATAATAGTAGTAGTAGTAGTAATAATAATAATAATAATATATATATATATATGCTAATTAATTTTATGTTTCCCTTTTAACGATCAAAAACAAAATAATATATATATATATATATATGTTATAAAATTTCATATTTTATTTTTTTAATGATATTTTAATTTGTATACACATCTGTTGAAAAATTATTACAATTATTTTGGACGTAAATGAATAGTGGGAGAGCAACTCAAAATTGCGCAGTTTAACATGTATTAAAAGTGAAATATTATTTAGGAGGTAAGGTTAAAAAATAAAGATAGTTAGGAGGTAAATAAAAATAAATAAATTATTTTTCAACAAAAATCATTATTCATTCATTCACACACTCTAATTAATATTTTATTATTTGATATGACATCAACTTTATTAATTATATTTTTATTTTATTACAGAGACTCGATTTTGTTTAAGGCTATGTTTGGTAAAACTAGCTGATAAGCTAGCTTATAGATTATTTGTAGTTTTATAGCCTAAGTTTTTTGAAAATATGTTTTTCACTTTTTTCTTGTTTATTTCAAATGAGACAAAAAATTGTCGATAATCTTATATTTAGAATGTGTATGGTAAGCATTATAAGCTTATTTGTTAGCTTATAAACTTATTTTATGTTTCCAAGTAAGTCTTATCTGGTCGGATGGACTTTTGGAAACAAAATCAAGCTTACCTCATGTTTATCGAGCAAGCAATTAAAAAAANTCGGGGGCCAAATAACGCGGAAAAATATACACACGTTTTTTGATTGTCTATTTTACATAACTATGTCTTGATCATGGCAGAAATAACGTTGCTCTCGGTTTTTGTTTTGGTACTTTTGTTTGAAAGATAATGATGTTTAAAATTCAAATTCAAGCTCTTTCTATTTTTTCTATCAATTTGTTAAACATTAGTTGATAATATATATTGCTAACATATAATACTAGCGTATACGGTTTTGCTATGGAGCCATCGGATAGCTCGACTTATGGAGCCATCCTTAGCTATCAACAAATGATGTATTGACACGTGTCCTGCAATAAATACACATTGGACACGTGTCAATACATAAAGTTATGAATGGCTCCATAAGGGAACGATTCGATGGCTCCATAGAATTACTGGTAGCGTATATATTAACTATTAAGGGCATCAGTTATTTTTCAGTAACTGATATATTAGGCATATCTGCAAATAATTATGGGGTATATATGCAATATAAAGATGATGAATAGCAAGTTTGCAATAATTTAACTACCTTGTAGGATAAACCAAAATTCGCCTAAAATTTAATGGACAATGCACTCCAAAGATTCTGGCAGCCAAGCATAATCCAAAGAAAAGAAATCCCACAAAGGCAATTATATCCTTAGCCCTCACTCAAGAAAACAACATCTGGTTTTAGCTCAAGGCAAAAGATGCAAAAAGGCACAAACCATCAGGGTGTGTTGATAACTAATGTGAGCAATGTTGTGTAATTCATTCATGTCCAAACTAATGTGAGCAATGTTGTGTAATTCATTCATGTCCATCTCTCGCACGAACACGATGGTTTTCGCTATCACGACCCGACCTACTGCTACTTTCTCTGCCATATTTGTCACCTCTGTGATATGACTCAGACTCATACTTTCTTGACCTCTTATCATTTCTACAATCACGTTCTTTCATGGAGTCCTTCCATTCGGAGTAGTTTGTGTGCGACCTTTTACTATCTTCTTGTACCCACCTTGAATGTCTATCTTCCTCGGCACCCCATCCAGTATCAGCCGCTCTCTGAATTGGGAAAAAAGGGAATCAATGAGTAACTGCGGAAGGAGAAAACTCCNAAATTGTCATAAAACATCATAAAACTTAAAAAATGTCGTAATTCATTTGCTAAAAATGTTCATATATTCATTACTCTCGCAAGCAGCTCATGGCTGGGTCGCAAGTGATGGACAAGGAAGAAAAGTAAAATTGTACACAAATAAAGAAAAACTGAAAACTATGAACAAAAAACCCAAGCTGGGTTGCCAGATATACAGGTCACGGGTGAAAACCTCATACTTTGATCTGTTTCTTTCTTGTTTGACAGATTCTAGTGTGCACATTCTAAGGCAAGATTAGGGGAAATTACACCTTTTGGATCTTATTAAAGGAAGGTTTTCTTCTTTAATGGATGGGTTGAGAATTCAGATGCCTTTTTTTTTTTTTAATTCTTGTTTCCTACATTAAATCATGGGCATCAAAGCTACCAAAACCCACATGAGTAACACCTATCACAACCTCTGCCCATGGCAAACATGTGACGTCTCAGTAACTCAATAGTTGTTCAAATAAATTATGTCCGATATAAAATTATTCTCAACTTCCACCACACTATTGCTAGTAAGCACCACATCAAACGTATTATACCGTAAAATTCAACAAACTTCTTTGCCAGTGGAAAATTCAACTGACTTTCACTAGGTCCTATGGAAAACTCAACGACTATCACTGGGTCCTAGACTCCTAGGAAACTTTTTACCTCCTTCGCTCAAATAAAGCAAATGATACCATGTTAGCTCCACTACCATATACACCCCAACAGTTGTCTCCAAGTTTCTCACCTCACAACCAATTCAATATTCAATTTAACCTTCAGTTAATAAAAAATTAATTGCGCATCAGCTTTAAATGTAATTAAGATCAATAAAAAAAAAAAAAATATTTAAGGAAATTATTGGCTACTTCAAAAGAGGTTAATGTGTGTGAATTGAGAACATTATCCTAAAATTGAGACAAAAATTATGAGATAAGGAGGCAACGTGAAAGGACAAAGTGAGAATGGCATAGAGGAATGTCGTTATGCCGAGGCATTCATAAGGGTAACGCCTTAGTCCTTCTTGTACTCGATTAGAACTTAGTAGTGAACAGTGCTAAAAGAACCTATATTTTGTTTCCAGGGACCTGCTTTTACCATCAAATCTTAATTTTAAGCAAGAAAAGGAAACACAAAAAAGTGTAACAAGAAAAGGAAACACAAAAAAGTTACACCAAACTTCTTTATTTTTTTTATGAGCATATTGTAAATAAATGTATTTTTTAAATAAGTCCCACTAATCAAGGAAAATTTCACGAAAAATCTCTTCAATTTAGTGATAGGAAAGCTTTAACTAATTCCTATACAACAACAACAACAACAACAACAACAACAACAACAACATATTCAGTATATTCCCAACTAATTCCTATACAGTAACAAGAAAATACTCCCTTCTTAACTATGTTTAAAGCAGCTATCAAAGTCCAAAGAACGAAAAACTCTTCTACTAACTCTCCCCACGATATAATAATCCAGAGTCATTACTTATCAGCACTATTGATGTTAAGGCTACTATAATACCTAGGATGACGGAATATAGCCAAGTGAAAAAAGGTCCTAGTGTTGCAGAATGCAACTTGTTCAAACAGGTTTATTTTCAGTGGATCCGTAACAGATAATGAAGCACATTCAAGTCAAGTAACTGCAAACTCTATCATCAACGACTCAAGGCTATAAGAGAATTCAGCTGCTTAATTAATGGGTTGGCTTATTAGAACCCATTTCTACCCCATTGTCTTTTTTAGTTGAATTTCAAACTAAGGAACACATCAGCCACGGTGCATAAACAGATAAGCAAATAACTTGATGGATCAATTTACATACTCAATCTATCTATGCAGTTGTCTTTCAGTTGGAAGTCATATGTAATTCGAGTTTCTTGAAAATATCGACAGACAAGAAGCATACAATCACACAGTATACTCATAGAGGAAGAAGCAGAGGAACATAAAAATTCCCAAGGAAAAGAAGAATCATAAGCATTAATGAAAGTATTATATTATAAAGTACCGCTACTTTTTGTGTGTTGAGAGATTTAACGGAGTAAAAATTTACTGACGTGAAGATATTGTACACAGACCTGCTGATCATGAGAAAATCTGCAGCTATCTCCACGGTTACATTCCCCTTTCTGAAAAGCACGGCAGACGCCCCTTTCCTCCCTCTTCCTCTGCTTAGTCTCCTCATCCTCTTCTTCTAGCTTTTTGTATTTGCTCACATGATCAACCCTAATTATTCGGCCCAAAATTTGAGCACCATTTAAATTGTCTGCATTCACCCAAGGAAACAACAAAACAGACAGGAAAATTTATTTGCTGCGATAGTAACTTGAAGAACAAAATTGGCTTTGGGGAAAAGAAACCAACCGACTGCGAGATTTGTGCTTCTTTGGTCCTCATAAGCAATAAAGCAAAATCCTTTGGATTTCCCAGTGCCTTTGTCTCTGATTAAGTTAACATCAACAATCTCTCCATACCTACATGTGAAGTTATATATATATATATATATATATATCAACTCTCGACAACAGGTTACAATGTAAAGAGAATAAAAAAAGGCAGAAAACTTACTCAGCAAAGACAGCAAGCAGGTCGCCTTCGGTTAGGTCAAATGGAATGCCGCCAACGTAAACATAAGCCGAATCTTTGTACTTAGCATGCCATGATGCCTCTTCTGATATTCCTAGGCTAGCTTCTTTCTTGTTAATATTCTGGATGCGCTTCACCAGCGTCAAAGGATTCATGGAAACTCGACTGAGTAATTCAAAGTCTCAGTAGCTAATAAATTTCAGTAGAATTAGGGTTGTAACAGTGTTATTAATGGCGGATAGCGGTACATGGCGTTTTGCCAAAATTCCGCCAGGGTGGTCTATGGCGCCGCCATGACCGCCATCATTTACAAATTTTGCATAGCGGATTGTCAAAAATCCGCCACGCCATACCGCCATGGCGCCGCCATGGCCGCCATTTGATAACACTGGGTTGTAAACGAATTGAATCAAAGCAAATCCTAAGATATTCAATTCAGATTCGTTAAAATATTTGAAGATTCGAATTCGTATTCGATTTGTAAACAAACTCATTTTTTGATTCGTATTCGATTCGTTTAGAACATTCGAACATATTCGATTCGAAATTCGTTTTCAGCAAGTAACATATCCAATTGAGGTAGAAACACAACCACATGCCTTAAGCTTTCTTATCTTTATTCTAACATCAAACCACACATATAAGCCAACCAAACTGGTACCAAGGCTCTGAAAATATCCATTTCAGCATGCTATCACCTAGGAATTAACTCAGCACATAATTTAAAAAGAAGAGCTAAAGCAATCAACACTAATATGCATCAAAGTCACATTCTGCTTCTCAAGCAACCATCTCATATGCCAAGGCCAAATAACTGAGATCAAATGCTAACATTTATTCATTTCCAGTCTCATAATCACCTCACATCATAAGGCTTAGCAATATGTCAATACACGAGTCTGAAATAAGCACATAAGACAGCAGCTTAAACTCAAGGAGGATCTTCAACAATCACAGGGCAGCCACACGGCCCAACCGGGTACAAACATAGCACATCATTCAAGCACATAACAAATATTTTCGGCCAAACAGAGGTATGAAGGTTCAGCCGAAAATACCTCTCGCACCGCTGCTGCTAGCAGGCTCCTCTCGGCGCGGCTATGGAGGTTCTCTTCTTCGGCAAGACTCGAAGTGGACGGCCGATCAAGTTCCTGCTCGTCTTCTCCGGCGAAGGGTTGCTGATCGGCTGCTGCTCACTCGTCGATGGAGGAAGGTGAGGGACGGGTTGCTGCTGATGCTTACTGTCACCGGCGGGGTCTGCTCGGAGATTTTCCGGCGAAGATTGCACGCGGGAAGAAGGTAATACGCCGGCGATGGAGGGGAATTACTCGAGGAATCTGAAATTCGATCGTGCGGTCTGTTGCGGCTATCGGCTTTAGGCGGCGAGAACTTCTCTCCGGTAGACGTGCGCGATCGGCTGTGATGATTTCCGGCGGAGGATTGAGATCGATGGGTTTTGAATCGTGAATATGGCTCTGCTTGTCTGCTAGTCGACGAAGAAGAAGAAAAAAAACCTTGGACAAAATCTGATCGATTTGGGCGTGAAATAGACGGTTAAGTGGGCCGAGATGCGCACGAATTATTGGGCTGAAAATAAGTTTCGATTCGGGCCAAAAGAAAGAGCTAGAAAGCCAATAGAAACGGGCTACACTGGGACACAAAAGTTGGCTAGCGACGGTTCGATAACAAATTAAAACGGATTTAAAATCGCTTTACGGGATTAAACGAAAATCGCCAAAACAATTAAAATTTTTAATCAAATAAATCTTAGTAATTCTAATACATATAAATAATTAACTGGTATGAGTCCCGGGGCAGTGCACGAGTAAGAATTATTCATTAATATTTATACATTAATAATTCTGATTAAGTAATATTTATAAATTAAAAATATGAAATTAATATGTAATACAATTACCTATACTAATTTATTGAAAATATTCTATGAAGTTTAAATTGTATAAAATTACATAAAAGTGTCTATTTAAAATTAGTACACGACCCGTGTGGTGCACATAACTGATAATAAATTATATTATATTCGTTTCAAAATAAGTATCATTTCAAAAAATTTATTCAGAAATTCGATTTAACTATAATGTGATTCCATAAAATAGTTACTTTGATAAAATGTTATCATATATTTAACAACCTATGTGAATAATAAGTATAAATATAATTTATATTGTTTAATTACTTCAATTTTTTTTTTTTGTATAAACTATTCAAATAAAAAAAATTAAGTAGTTGAGTAATTTATTAAACTATAAATAATTGACTATTTCGTTTACGTCGAAGTTAGTATTGACCATAAATTTATTAAAATATAAATAATTGACTATTTCGTTTACGTCAAAGTTAGTATTGACCATAAGTCATTGAGCAATTTATTAAACTTTAAATAATTGACTATTTCGTTTACTCCAAGTAAATATTAACCTGTAAGTTATGAATAATTATTTTTTTATTTTAAATTTTAAATAAAAAACTTGTTATTTTTTTAATATATTATATACCAAATTTAAACCATGCAACTAATAAAGGTAGTAGCTGCAAGTTTTGTCAATATATTATATTCTGAATTTAAATCATGCAACTAATAAAGGTAATCGCCGCAATATTTGACCAAAATGATTCTGTACATTAATTTAGGCTGGATTTTTCAAAATTTTGCCAAAAATATTACTCAATAAAGTAAACACTTTAGGCGGAAAACTAAATGTTTTTTTTTTTGTTGATTTTTAGTCGTTATTTCAAGTAAATATCATTGTCTCTTTATATATTAATAGATTAAAGCACATCATATACACATACATAAAGTCACATAGCAATTTAATAATAAGCAGATAAATAAGACATATGGAATTGAGCAGTTAACATCAATAACGAGCAAATAATAATAAGACAAGGAAAATAATTAATTATAAGCGAATAAATAATTATATAAAATTCGAAAAATTCTAATAAACAAACGGGGTACTATAAATACACTAAGGCAAGTTACATTACTTAGGTAATTAAAAAATAATGAAATAATCACATTGGCACATAATCAAATAATCACTTAGGCAAATAGTCAAATAATCACTTAGGCAAATGCCAAATAATCACTTAAACAAATAATTCACAAAACATACTTAACCTTTAGGACAATTAAATCAAACAAGAACATATAAGAAAAAATAAACAAGAAGATTTAAACTTAGTTGAACGATGCAAATGTTAATGACAATGCTTTTATTATTGAGGAAATTGCAACCTCTACTTCAACATTGTAATTATATTATAATTTTACAACCATTAAATAAATATTTATATAATTACCAAACTAAGCTAAAATATTGCTAATATACCTAAAAAGATAATTAAGGAGTTACATACAGATAATTAAGGAGTTACAAATTTTACGGGAAATTACAGGCAAATTAAATACACAAAAGATAAACCGCCGCCCAATTTTTCACCATATCAACAGAAAGAAAAACTTCCTCTCTATCGGTTTCCAAACCTCCTTCAATGGCGAAAACAAAAATCGCACGCGATCCTCAGAAAAAAAAACCGGCGAACGAAGGGGGCGGATAAGGTCAAGTTTCCGACTTCGTAAGATCATTCAAAATCAAAACCCAAACTCATTCAGAAGAAGCTCGTGTTTGAGAGAAAAACGAACCCTAACCCTAATCGTAAGCCCACCGGCGACTCAAGAGTGAAGAAGCACGTTTCATCCCCTAGTTCAGACGAGAAATATACGCTATTGCGGAAAAAGCGTAACATATCACGATAAAAGCCTGCAACGTCAGCAATAGTTACGCGTTTCAGGAACTACGCGAATTTAATGCACTATAACACGTTTTTGAGTTTATATGCGCTATTTTGCGCTATATAGCTCGCGGAAATGCACTTTTTAAAACACTAATTGTTCCACAATAGTTCAATGGCGAAAAGTAAGTGGAAAAGTATATAGTGTTTTTGAGTTTATATGCGCTATATAGCTCGTGAAAATGCACTTTTTAAAACATTGGTTGTTCCACACTAGCGAAAAGTAAGTGGAAATCTTTTTCCAAAAACTTGAAAATCAAAAAACAAAGTAAGCCCCCGGCGAGGATCGAACTCGCGAAGTAAGTGGAAATCTTTTTCCAAAAACTTGAAAATCAAAAAACAAAGTAAGCCCCCGGCGAGGATCGAACTCGCGACCTTTCGCTTACGAAGCGAACGCACTACCACTATGCTACGGAGGCTGTACAACTTTTTGTACATGTTGTATCTCATAGTCTCATTACACCCCGAAATTCATTATTAACCTCCAAATCTGCCTGATGATTCTAGGGTTTTGAGAATTTGAGGGAGGCAGGGAGCGAAGATGTGTGGGATAGCGCTGATTGTGTCTGGAATTGATGTTGATTTATCTTGTTTATTCCCCAACTTAGATTGCCCATGCCCACTGTCTCCTTCACAGACGGTAATAATTCCTACACATGTCTACTATTTATTTGTATTTATGTTCTTTTAAAGGTTGGGAGTAGTTTGAAAATTCTCCCGCAATTTTATTATAAAGTGCTCACCTTCTATATGCTTTAAGTATACAGTCGCTATTCTCAGAAGAGGACATAAGGGCGGCCCTGCAAAGAAGGGGACCTGATAGTTTAGGAGCTCATACCATCAATGTCTGTTCAAATTTTTTCCACGGCCAGCAGAAACAGTTCTTGGTCCAGTCTTTTGCTCGAAAAGAAGGGTTGAGAGAAAATGGCTGTGAGAATACATTGCAGGGTAGGTTGCGATTCATCGGTGCAACACTGCAACTTAGAGGAGATATTCCAGTTTCTCAGCCTGTGACCGATGCATTTGGCAATGTTCTTGTTTATAATGGTATACTTGAGATTCGTTTATTTGAATATGTTGATGATTTATATGGTGAAATTTTTTTTAGCCGTGTTCCTAGTGTGAATGCTCGAGTTGGTTGCTGATTGTTTTGCCTAATTGTAATTTCGAACATAGGCGATTTATTGTGAACAATATTTGTGGTGCATTATGCATCATACTGTTTTCATGATATGGAATATAATTTCAGTTCAGTCGTCAACCCATCATGGTGTATACAATAGGGATACTTCCTGTTCTTTACTGCTTGACGAATATTTTCCAATAAATATTGAATCAGATAAGATGAGGCTAATTGGTTATAGATATGCCATAAAAAAATAAGATTTTTATTCATTCAGTTTAGTTATTCTCCGTAATTTTCCTTTCTTTCTTTTTTTTTTTTTCTTGAATATCACTGTCCAGCTTTGCATCTGCAATTTGAATGTTATTTTCCTTTTGTTGGTAGCCTTTGACTTTTTTTTGGGATCTTCATGCTCTTCTTGATCAAGTGTTGAGGGTTTGCATTGTTGCATTTATATCTTGCTGTCCTCAATGGGGCAGTCTTGAATTTTAAGTTTTCGGAATTTTTTTCTCTGTCTATCTCATCTGCTGAAATTTATCTTGTTTATCAGTTAAATGTGGTAGTTTTTTTTCTTTTTCAGGTGAAATATATGGAGGGATTCATATTGGTAGTGACAGCAGTGACACGCAGGCCCTCATGAAGTCTCTGGGACAGTGTTGCTCATGTACTTACCATGGTGAGAGAAAGCCTTCTACCTGTTCTGGAGAATATAATAAAACTGTTCCAGAACTTTTATCAAGTATCAAGGGTCCATGGGCTTTGATTTATTGGCAGGTAACACTGTGTGGTGGTAAGTTTCTTCCACGATTCCTTAAAATGCAAAAAGTTACGAGTTTATTGCCATTTTTAAGTAGCTGCTTTGACTTGTTTGATGCATGCAGGATAGCACAAAAACATTGTGGTTTGGCCGAGATGCATTTGGAAGGCGAAGTCTTCTTGTTCATTGGCCAACACACCGTGATGCTCGGCTACTGCTATCCTCTGTATCTCCACTTTCTACAATCCCTCAGCATTTTGGTACATATACTCATTTCTTGATATTTTTGGTCATACATGTCTCATTTCTGACTGAAAATGGATATAGGGGAGCAAAACCATTTTGTTTTCACTCAGATTTTTTTATGTTCTGTCCTTAGTCTAATTTGGACTAGGGAAACTTCGTGCTGACTCAATCCTTGGAACTCTAACCAGATATTGATGATGAGAATGGGAAAGTTGAAGTGAATTTCTGGGAAGAGTTGCCGTGTGGTGTTTATAGCATCTCAATGTCTCCCATAAAAACTGATGCACATGTTATCGGGAAAGTAAAAAAACACGAGTGGACTGATTCTGGTCTGAAAGATTTGGTGGCATGGGAGAGAACTTGCATACAACCTAAATCCAAGAATTTAAATGCTACGAGTTTCAGAAAAACACAGACCATGGAAGAAAGCACATTTTCAGATTTCGAATTTGAATTAGGTCAGTATCAAGCTGGGTTGTTGGGACTTGGGAGTCGGGGGACTAAAACCCCATGCATGCCTTGATTTTTTTTATTTTTTATTTTTATTTTCTCCACTCCAGTTCTTTATGGTTAATTTTATTTTGACTTGTCTGTCTTTTCTTGTTTTCATCAATTTCATTAACTCATTTAGTACCTTTTACAAGGATCTGAACTTATACATTGCACTGCATTTTTCATTTATAATTGCTGCAGAGTCTGTAAAAAGTACACTTTTGGCCCCATCTCATAAAGTGTTGATGGCTCTGAGAGAATCCGTAATGCGAAGAACCACTTTAAATAGAGTCTACCAGGTTCATTCATTTCCTCAATGTCCTTGATTTTTTTACTTCAGTCCCATATTGGTTAGTGTTTAAACTTCAATCCTTCCTTGAAAAGATGGACAAGGGTTAGTGCTGTAAACGAAACGAACCGAACCGAACCGAGTTTGGGCTGTTCGAGCTCGTGTTCGTTACATTTGAACAATGTTCGTGTTCGTTCGTTTATTTTTCGAGCAAAAAATCATGTTCGAGCTCGTTCGTTTAATTTTTCGTCAAAGTTTGAGTTCGTTCGTGTTCAAATAATTTAATACATAAACTTTTTTAAATATGTTTTATTAACTCGAAATTTGGTTTTGAACTCGAAAAAAAATTAAAAAAAATATTTTTATATTTTAGATTTTTTTATTAAAAATATTATGTAGATATATAAAATATAAAATAAAATAATATTGAATTAATGTTCGTGAACATTATTGAACGTTCGCGAATGAGCTCGTGTTCGTTCGATTATTAAACGAGCCTAATTTTCTGTTTGAACTCGGCTCGATTAACAAACGAACGAGCTTTTGTTGAACACGAACGAGCTCGAACGAGCTTTTGTTCGCGAACGTTCGGTTCGTTTACAACTCTAATATGAAGGGTTATGAGAACATTAGTATTATACTGACAAAAATCTTTTACTCAGGACTTTCTTAAGAGTCATAGAAAAGAAAGACATGCTCCTATAGCAGTGCTTTTTTCTGGAGGTTTAGATTCTATGATCATAGCTGCATTGCTGCATCAGTGTGTTGATTCCGAATGTAAGTACACTTTATAGTTACTTCTATTTCTCCTTGGATTTTCCATTTTAAGATAATCCTCCTCATATATGTGTTTTTCTTACTATGTTAAATCCTTTGAGTATAATAATTAATGTATATTCTATTCCATGGCTACCATGGTAATTTTTCGGTCAACTTTTCTCCCTAGTTACACATTGCTGTCTTCTGAGAAATAATAATAAAATAAACATCATTACAGATGACATTGATTTGCTTAACGTCAGCTTTGATGGAGATTCAGCTCCTGATAGAGTTTCAGGGAGGGCTGGATTGAAGGAACTCCAGAAAATTGCACCGTCAAGGAGGTTTGGCTCGTCTTGAAACATGAATAGCTAAGATGTTAATTTTGGTGTAGTAGGTTATATTGGCTCTAGTTAAAACGTGAATAGTTGAGATGTTAGTTTTAGTATATTAGGTTTTACATTTGCATGAGACCTCGAGGGACCAATCGATTTGTAAGATATCCCCTCTTCTTGGTTTGTAGATTCTGATCTAAGCGTTGCAAGTTTCACAGAAGAGAGAGAACCAAAATGGGTTCAAGTTTCTGAGTCATTTGATAAGCTCGAAATAATTTTTTTTTTTTTTTTTTTGCTGACTCGCCTACGAGTTTCTTTTGAATGGATGTATATACTTATATATTGCTCGACTTTTGAACAGGTGGAACCTTATTGAAATTGATGCTGATTTACTGAAGTTGACCTCTGAAACAAAACATGTCATGGCACTTATAAATCCTTCTAAAACCTACATGGTATTTGTTTCTTTCGTTATAGGTATATTTTGGTATTTTTTTTTTAATGATTCCCCTGTTCATTAAGATTCTGCCAACATGCATATGCTAATTGTTTGTATTAGCAATACTAAGATCTTCAATATTGTTTATTTTTTGGTTTCTTGATAGTGCATTTGAGTTGGCAGTATTGCCGTGCATATTGGATTCTTGTTGTTAAGCATATTATCTGTTTAAGATAATAACATTAAAGGATAGATGCTGAACTCTATTAAAATGGCATCAGGACTGTAATCTGTAAACATCTCTTCTTATTTCTCTTTACCTCGGAATTTTTTCAGGACCTAAACATAGGAATAGCATTATGGCTAGCTGCTGGAGGAGATGGTTGGCTTTATCATACTGAGTGCAAACGTGTCAAGTACAAGTCCATAGCCAGGATTCTCCTGGTGGGTTCCGGTGCAGATGAACAATGTGCAGGATATGGTCGACATAAGACAAAATTTAGAAATAAAAGGTGGTCTCTTATTTTAGTTAGTATATATTATCCAGTATAAGCTCTACAAGATGCGTTTTTATATAATCTGAGAGCATTAAGGCTATGTCTGATAAAACTAGCTGATAAGCTAGTAATTTTCGAGCTTATTTATAGCTGAAAAGCTAGCTTATATAATAAAAGTGTTAGCTGAGATGAAAATTTCAACGAGCTTATTTGGAAAGTTATCCAAAGAAGCTTATGAGATAAGCTCGAGCTTTTTAAAAAAGTTTGTCCTTACAAACGAAGCTTATTTAAATACAGGAAACTTATAATCTAACCAAATAAGCTATAAGCTAGTTTATTTGTCTACTAATATTTTCTATCTTTTTTTTTTAACATATTCGAATATCATAATCTCAATGTGGTGCTTTAAAACATGCATGTTAAAGTTGGCTCGGGCTCCATGATGAAATGAAACTAGACATGCAAAGAATTTGGAAGAGGAATCTAGGGAGAGATGATAGGTGCATAGCCGACAATGCAAAGGAGGTACTTCAAAAGCCCCGCGAATATGAATCACGCAATATCTTATCCTGAGTGGTTGCAACTATGTTAGTTATAAAAAAGAACGTCATACGTGCCTTTTT